AAATGCGAGTGCTTTTTCTCCCCCCCCCCCGCCGTGCATCACGTCATTTATGTTTGTGATAAAATTTATCTGCTCTTTTGTCACCTAGTCACAGACTCAGCTCTTTCTGAAAGGCCTTGTCCCTGCTGCTCTGAAGAATTCAGCATTGACAGCGAACACTGTCACCTCGCTAGCCTGCTCCCCCCATCAGTCGTGGGTCCCAGCGTGGATCCTGTAGGAGTTATGGCGATGTGGTACCACGAGGTCTGACTCCTGCGCTCTGGTAAAGAATCAGTCTAGCAGAGTGGCCTTCGTGCGGCTGCTTGGTGCTTCTGGATCCTCACAGCCACAGCCACCGCGGTGGCTGCACTCCTCTGCTCATTTGTGCTTTGCAGAGATGGGTTGCGTGTGGTTGGCGGAAGGCATGCTTCCACTTGGTAGAGGAGCTGCCCTTTTGTGCTTGTTCTGGTTGCATTCCTGTTCAAGCTGCCCTTAAACCTTCAGCCTCTTCTCTTGTGAGAGCTTGCAGTGGCTCCAAGCGATACGCAGCTTGAAATGAGCACAGATATTCACCCCTCATTCCACGTTGGGGTTCATCTGGAAACTGTGATACTCCTCATCTGATGTTAACTGGCAGGTCAGTTTAGGACCTTTTTGTCCAAATGCTACTTGAGGTGATGACTAAGCTTAGGGGCACCCCCCCCCCCCAATTCTTAAAACGGTGCTGGTTTTCTGTTTTTTTGCTGCTGCGTAACTGCTGCTATTTGCTGGTCTGTGTTGGAGGGTTTGTATTAGCACCCAGCAATTTCTGATTTGTATCTGAGAATAGCCTTTCATACTTGAGCAGCATTTCATGTTCAAATGCTTGGTCCGGCATAAAGTATATTTATGTTAATAATATTAACTAGTTGTGCAAAACCAGCAAACTTGAGTCACCAAATTAACAAAATTGATTTGGTAGAATATATAAAAGTTTTGAACTTTCTCAGCTTGCAAATCATGTTGTCTTAGCAAAATACACAAAAGGAAAGTTGCATAAACCATTAAAAATGCTTAGTTCCTTCTGTATTCAAACTCTTATGCTATCATTCGTAACCCTTCCAATATCATTAAGGCACTTTTGCTTGACTTCTGTAACATGGCTGTCAAATTTCAAAGTTCAGGGCTGCTTTACTGAACATAAGAATGATATTTACAAGTTGGGGTTTTTTTTACCCTGAATATAACTAAGGTTCTGTGGTACTGAGTGTACATTTTAGCTATTTATGGAAATTAATGCAGCTGCTTGATAAATAAATATGCAATGCAATTACTGGGTCTGGAATTGCTGACAGTGGTCACTGTCCCCAGAAATCTTTTTTGAACTGCAAAGTGGAGTTTATCAGGGAAGAAGATCAGGCTGCATGTTATCTCTGAAGTTACGAGAAATGTAGAGAAAGGTTAAGCACAAAACACAGCAATTGCGAATTGTGCTGAGTTGTGCTAAAAGACGAATATCTCTTTTTTTTTTTTTTTTTTTTTTTAAGATTTTCTTTCTAATGTGGTAGGAATATCAGTAGTGGTCTGAACTTGCAGTCCCAGCCATGCTGGTGTAATCCAGTCGGAAAGCAGTCCCCAGTTTGGATGCGTGTCCCTGGCCCCGTGAGCTGCCGGCCCCGCTCTCCGCAGCTCCTGCTCTCCGCAGCTCCCGCTCCCAGCAGAGCGTGCGGGTGGCCGCTGGCTGGCA